AGGGCGCTGGAGGGGTTCCTCGGGAGGGTAAGGGGGCGCTACTCTGTGCTTTAGTTCATTTGGCTCTTAATCAGAAGGGGAAGTCGAGGCCCAGACTCCCAAGATGGTCAGGCTCCAAAACCCCCAAAACCCGCCCAGCTCATAGCGCGGATGGGGAAGGGCAGACATGGACAAGGGCTTCTGTCCCAGGCAGGGGGCGCCTACGTGGGCAGGTCAGGAGGACCCCCAAACCCACCGCAGCCTAGAGGCTCTCAGATGGCTGTCATGACTTAGTCAAGGTTCAGAGGGCCTGACCCTCGGGCTGCCAAACATGAATGCACACAGAACGTACCCTCTCCCTGCATTATGAAAAAAGAACATTCTTGACACTAAAAATGAAGGATGTCTCCAGAATAAAGGACAGATCGTCCCACGGAACAGAATTTGCCAAGCTTACACACCCTGACATATGTGTGTACATAATCTATAATTCGAGTTTACCCACATTGTTCTGGGCTGCTTCCTCATCTCTGAATGGAGATGATGATAAGCCTACCTCCCAGGGGGACTTGTGAGCATGGAACACAGGGCGAGCTTCATCGGTCGCCCAGCATGGAGTGACCTGTCAGCTGCGTTACCCTCACACCCCCACAGCGCCCTGGGCCCGATGCTCTCACTTTCTCACTCAGCCTCCATCAGGGAAGCCTGTCACGGGCCCGCCTTGGAGAGCCCTGGGGTCGGGGCTGGGGCTGGCCCCGAGTCTGTCCAATTCAGCTGGGTTCCACTCAGAACACCCAAGCTCAGGACATGGGGGCCACACTGGCAGCAGAACAGTGCTTGCCCCCCAGGCACTTGGGACCCGGGGGAGGGGGAAAAACCCATGATCACTGATTCCGGCTCTTCTTGTAGGTGTGTGAACGGAAACACAAAGAACTGGCATTTGAAAACAAAAGTTGGAAAAAAAAAGACATAAAAATGAAATCACCTAGCTAAGTTAGCATGTGGAGACAATTTGCTCGTTGGAATTTTGGCAGGATGCTTGTGACCTGTGAAGGCCAGTGGCTGAGCGTGAGGTAAATGCAGCAAGACTCTGCGAGGTGAACCAAGCACTCGAGTGAAAATTATGGCAAGAGCAGGGGCTGTCATTACTGGTTCCCCAAATCACCTGTTGTAGAATTTGGCCGTTGCTCAGCACCTCTCCTGAGGGGTCACTTTATTACTGGAGACTCAGGCCAGCACTGCAGGCTCTGGGCCCTGAAGTAGTAAGAGCCTGACTGGCCAGCACACACAGGACCCCGCCTTGGTCCTGCTAGCCAGCAGGTGCCCACGGGGCCAACTCATGTGCCTACCTTGATCTGTCCAAAGCTGATGGTGATGGCGGCAGCCGAGGTGAAACCTTTGATGACAGGGCAGGAGATGAAGTCCAGCAGTAACCCTGGACAGCCAAGAGCGAACACCAAGTTGGCCTAGCCCCACTGGGACCCAGAGGAAACAGGTGGATGTGGGCTGGGAGAGGTGGTATGGGTGGGACAGGGGCTAAGGAATAGTGGGGGGTATGCCCTGTTTGGGCTAGTCTGGAGAACAGGAAAGAGAGGCCAGGGATTGAGGTCCCAGGCACTTCTCCAAATGTCCTGGCCTCGAAGCACAACAGGGGAGGACTGAGGGCCACTTCTCCTGAGACACACACACACACACACACACACACACACACGGACAGCCCTTGGGATGCAAAGAAGGAAATGCTGAGGGCAGGGCATCTCCAGGAGGAGGTGCCTTGGTAGGAACCCCAGGAAGAGCAGATCCGCAGCCCACCCCCCATGGCAGAAAGGCCTGAAAGGCTTACCTAAGCGCAGAAACCCCATGCCTAACTGGATGCAGCCTGACAGGAAGGCCAGCAGCACAGCGTAGGCGGGCTTGCCGAAGGTGTAGAAGGAGACCAGGAGGGACATGATAGCGGTGGGGCCCAGAGTCACATCTCGGGAGGTGCCCAGAAAGAAGTAGACGAAGCACCCCATGAAGGCAGAGTAGAGGCCATACTGTTCGGAAGAGAAAGCACTGAAGAGCCAGGAAGGACTCGGTGCACCCACGGGGTCCCTGGAGTGGACACCTGAGCTCAGGGACCTGTGGTCCCCACGGCGGATCCTGGGCACAGCAGTGCAGACAAGCAGGGCTTGTGCTCACCCTGTTACCATGGTTGTGGACCCGCAGTGATGAGGGGCCTCCTTTCCACCCACACCCAACCAGGGCCCCATGTGCTGATGTTCGAATCTGAGTCTGAGAAAGTGTCTACTAGCCACGGTGAGTCATCCCACTGGCCCCCTCAGGCAATCCAGAACTAGCCTGGTGCCTGCGTGTGACAAGGGCGACAACAGGAGTCACAGAGGTACAGGTCTGCCCCAAATCAGTCATATGCTCTAGGTTGTAAGCCAAGGCCTCCTGAGCCCCATGGGACTGGAGCCCTGGGTGCCCCTTTGCCTGGAGGAAATACTGTGCATTTCCATCTGCTCTGGGGCCAGTGCTGAGGCCTGGAGTGGGGTCATGCTGAGGGGAGGGGATGTGGCAGACAGCAGGGCAGAAATCTCACCTGAGGAGGGAGTCCAGCCACCTCAGCATAGGCCAAGGCCTGGGGGATGACCGTGAGCCCAACTGAGATCCCGGCGAGGAAGTCCATCTTCAGCGCGTACCAGGTGTAGTTGGGCAGCCAGGCCAGGAAGGGCAGCCACTTCTGCATGGTCTCAGTGGACCAGCAGCAGGACATCGGGGCCAGGCCCGGAGGCAGGGGCCTGGCCGGACTCAGCGCATCCACAGAAGACGGCATGTCTATGGTGGGGGTGGGGAAACAGCTCAGAAGTCAGAACCTGGGCTGCAGAAAAGCCAGCAGTAGGGTGGGGGTCCAGGGACGTCAGGAGACGCACAATTGGTCTCCCCAACAAAGGGTGTGAGCCAGATGGGTTAAATCTCCTCGCACCCTGCTGATCTGAGACAGAAGCCAACAGCCTGTGCAGAAGCCTCAATCAAAGGTGGAGTGCACCCCCTCCCGTCCACTGCTCTCCCTGAATCCCACCTGCCCAGACCCTGCGTGCCTTCTCTGCCTTCAACCACTGTGGCTGGAAGATAATAACGAACAGTTTCTCAGTTATAAATCTAAACGCGAATTGCACTCAAGGTTTCTCCTACCGAGGGAACTGTTTCCCTTTATATTCCCCCTACCCTGAGAATTTAAAGGGGAGCAGTGCAGAGAAGAGGAGGGTCCACGGGGGGCACCCAAGTCTGGCTGGGGGGTGTGGGTGGGAAGGCTGGAGGCTCTGAGCGCCTCGAGATTTTCCAAGTGCGCACTGTAGCAGGCTCCACCCACTACGGCAGACTGCGGCGCGAAGTGGGGGGGTCTCCCATCCTGACTCACCCCAACCCCCACCTGTGGCGTTCACATCTTTAGAGGAGCGCTGAAGATTCTAGTAGGTTCTGGGAAAACGTCAGAGGCTCCACCAGTAGTTCAGGGTGCGCATCCTCTACGGCCCCGGCGCCCCCTGCGCGCAGAGCCGGTCCCAGACGACCCCCTACCCACTGCCCCGGCGGGGTCGCTCTGGACAGACCCTGTCCCCCACCCCTGAAGCCGACTGCCCGGACGCTAAGGTCTAAGGGTGGGGACCCCAGGCTAGCTGACAGTCCGCAGCCCGCCGGCCCCAGCAAGACGGAAGGTGGCGGAAACCTGGAT